ATCCTGCTGTGTTGTGTAAGTCTGTACAGTTATTGTATGTTGTTAAAAGTTTAATGTTTTAGGGGGAAACGATCTGACATCAGAACAGCTTCTTCTGTGAGGCATTCTTCACTTATTAAAGCAAAATTAGAGGCCCTGCCCTTGGGTTCTCCTTGTTCTGTCATTTCTCTCTTACAGCACTTAAGAGATTGTCTTGTAATTTATTGCTCACATGTCAGGAGGTGTCTCCTCAACCTCAAGTTCCTTAGAAAAGCAAATGGAACAAAACTATGTCTTACTCATCTCTGTATCTCCAATACTGGTGAACTGCTTGATAAGCTACAAATGTATAATCAATGCTCACTGAATGAATTAGTAAGTGAGATATAAATTGTTTTGTTTGTGAACAATCTCATCTACCTTCTAAGTGTTAGATAGTCACAGTAGTAGGGATTTGGAAGGTAAGAAGAAGGGTTTTGTGGTCATCAAACTTGTAGTAGAATGGCAGAGAAGGCCAGTTGCCCCCTGTGACGAACAGAGGGTCAGCAGTAAACGCGGCGAAGCCTCAGCTCAGAAAGCCTCTCTGAGAAGTCACATCTTAGTGGAGTCGTCAGGGAAATAAATGACAGCACTGTCTTATAGAAGAGCATTCCAGTCTGGAAGAGCAGCCAACTTAAAGACGCACAGAGGAACATCTGTAGTTGCCGAGAAACAGCTAAGGAGGCCAGCACGGCTGGAGTGTGGTGATCGAGAAGGAATGTGGCAGGAGATGGGGCTGACATGCTACAAGTCCAGATCGCATTCACCATGATAAAGATTTCACAAGGAAAGTCAGATGGACAGTTCCAGCAGTAGAATAGTGCGATGGGATCTTTTGAAAGACTCAGTCTCCCAGTTGTTTGAGACTGAAAAAGGCAAGAATGAGACAGAGAACTCATGAGGCCACATTTGTGATTTAAGGGAGAGATGCCATTCAGACCAGTGTAAATGGAATGATTTGTTGAACTCTGAAGATAGGAATTAGAAAGTGGGGTTGATGAGATAGCTCAGTGAGGGGGAGTACTTGCCTGATGACGACCT